GCTTTTTGCAATATTTTAGAAGCTCTAGCAAGGAATTAAAAGGTGATAGAACCTTCCACTTAGGCTTAAATTAAAGCTAGAACTACGGACTACTATCCCTCAAAATACTATTCCTGCACCTTTCCCTGATGGTCACTTATACTGGAAACTTATGCAACTGAAAAAAAACGTGTAAAAATCACTTTTAGCTGTTCAACAAATGACTATAGGTGACCTTAGGGTCAAGGTGCAGGAATGGTATTTTTAGGGATTGAAGTCAGAAGTCCTAGCCTTAATCTAAGCCTAAGTGGAAGGTTCTACCACCCTTTCCGTAATTGCGGTAGGTACTCAAACTTCCCAAAATCAGTGTTTCCTATTCAACAAATGACTATAAGTGACCATGAAGCAAAGGTGCAGGAATTTTGCAGGGATAGTAGTCGAGATCACAATTGATTACTCACCGCTGTCGGTACCATAAGCCATCAAATCCGTTTTGTTGTTCCATTCCATGAGCTCAATATGCTTTGAAATTTTGAGGCAAATGAACGCAAATTTTCCGAAATTTAGTATTTCACATTGTCGCTGAAATGCATAAAAACCACAACTAACTAAAAGAATTTATTGTATAAAACGATGTGGGGACTTACATATAATATGATTCAATGAAATGCTTTAGAATCAATCATAAAGTGAACTTTGGATTTTTAGTTAGTTACGGCATTATGTATTTCAGCGACGATGTGAGTTACGCCCTTTCCATACTATACTAACGATGTATTGCATTCTAAGTCCAACTCCTGTTTAGATATTAATTTCGCCTTGAATTGATTCTTATTTGATTTGTGAACTTGGCTGTCAACTTTCTCACATCCGAATGTTGACAATGGATAGGTTTAGAACTATGAAACAAAAATTACAAAAAAAAATATTGGCTACAATTTGTCATTTTGTTTGCCGAAAATACGTTTTATCAGTGCACTTTCACAATATTCGCATTCGCAAAAGCATCCGCGAATGCGTATGTGAATGTTAAAATTAATGCGGAAGCTCCGCGGTTGCGAATATTCGCAACAACCCTGATACATACATACATATGTACATGCCTACATCTGTAGACATTTGTGCGTGTGCAAATACAAAAATGTAAAATTTTTAAGCCACTAAAGCAGTCATAATTTTTGCAACATTGTTAGTTTTCTGCTTCGAAAGCAAAACATTAATATTTTGACGTGCATCGAAAAGCAATTCGGAAAGCTCGTAAAAATGAAAAATGCTATTACTATTTACATAGTTGCATATTTAAATGCCTTATTGGATGATTCACAGTTATGTATTGACCTCTATGGGCCAACCCTTATATGTCCTGTTTGCATTTGTTTGTTATGCACTACAAGAAGGATATTAGTTGGTAGAAAATGTGTTGAACACAAATTATATTTTGGTTCATGGACCCTGCAGGAAATGTATTTAACGTTCATTTAACTTGAAGTTGATTAGGATGGTACTCAAGGTCAGTATTATCTGTATAATTTCTTTGAGGAAAGCTAACTATACATATTTGTTTGGCGAGACCGCAAAATAATCTATCTTCATTAGGTGTCAACTAACTTGTAACTAACTACGTTGTACATAAAATATCAATAAGAAAAATATATATAACATTTTTTTACTATTTTATTTATTTAAATAAGTAATTACTTTATTTAAACACATTTATTTCCATATTCTGCTGTAGGTGGTCTTATATTGTCATATAGTCTGTAAGCACATTGTTTATTGATTAATAAATGATATGGAAATTACTTTATTCATTTTATTTGTCCTGAATTCAAAAAAGTATTTGCAAAGTGCAGAAAAAACTGCATTAAAAGTAAATTTTTTATAAGGATATTTAAATAGGAGCTTGTTTAAAGAAAACCAACTCCCAATTACGTCTGCATGAATCCTACCTGACTTTAAAGCTAGCTTTAAGTTGGATTGTCATAGCTAATTAAAAGTGAGGTGTTAATCGAAATCTCGCAAAGAAGCTAACTACAAGCTGGTTATTTGTTATGAATTGATCATTTTTTTCTGCAGGGTATGTCTTTGGGATTTTAATTTTCCAGCTTTTTCCGATCCCGATTTTCGGGATATCGTTATTATAATCTCGGGATTAGTTCCGGGATTTGGATATTCATTACTTTTTAACAACTTAAATCGAAAAAATTGCATCTATTTGTTTGAGAAGCTCTCCTACCATAAAATAAATAATAAATAAATGGGTTTTAAACCCACTTTTTATTTAAAGAGGCGTTTTTATTTTTTCTCTCTGACTTTTATTTTAAAGGACTTTGTAGTTTCAAAGACATGATTAATTCCAAAAACTATTTCAAGAATTAAATGCAAAGTAGAATAAATGGGTACTAAATGCAAGAGGAAATTTCGGTAGAATTAAAAACAAAAATAAAATTGTTTGGATTCACAAGGCCGAATAGGTAATTTTTAAGCTGCTACTGTTAGAAGAACGAAATACGAGGATGTTACCAAGTTTATATAAGCCCTTAACATATAACTGTTTCAAAAACAAATATTGCGAAATTTCAAGGATAAAATTTTAAAAAGACATTTTCAATATTTACCAGCCCTTCTGCACTATAAACTTGAATCTGTTTAAATTCTACAGGATTTCCTCATTCATTTTATACCGATACTTCTTCTCTAAGCACATTTCTCTGAATTTTTCAAATAATTTTTGAATTACTGACGTCGGAGAGAAAAACTAAAAACACAATTTTACTATATATGGCCCATGGTTTCGCGAATATATTGATATTTGTGTTTAAAATTTACTATCGCACGGTGTTATATGTACAATGAGCTAGACATATATGTATAAAAAATATTAATTATTAAATAAAAAAAATATATAGCTAATACTAGTCAAGGAAAGGAGTTTCAATTATTTGCCAAGAATCCCGGGAGTTTTGGGACCTTAAAAAGGCCGGGATCCCGGGATTAACATTCCTAATATGTATGCGTGTATGCTAATACCTAAAATTATATATGTACATATATACTTTTGCAAATGCCACGACACCCAAAAAACGACATGATCCAAATCTTTATTTATTTTTAAGAAAATACACTTTGTCGAATTCTCGAATTTAGGAGTAAATGTTATTGATTTTGTATATAGTAATAATAACCCTGTCGGGAATTTTGCAGTCGACCTCTAAAATAGCCAACTTATTACGACTAACTTTTAATTGGCTTCAAAATCATGCAGGGCTCAATCGAGGGGATATGTATGTATGTAAAATTGTTTTACAATTTTCTCTTTCGAAAAAAAACTTGTGTTCCAAAAAAGAAAATTTAAAACAATTACATGTGTGTGTACATTTATTGCCATTGTGTTCTTTATTGAAAGCGAGAAAACATGAATTTTGGCTATTTTATTCCCTGTAGGAAACTCAAGTAACTATAAATGCACTATAAGTCAAGAATGATAGAATACAAGAATGCGCATTCTTGCGGGTGATGACGTTAAGATAGCAACGAATAGGAAAGAGTAATTGGAGATGGAGGAGAAAAAGAGTGTTAACTGTCAAACCATGCAGGTCGCCATATCTATATACATGTAAACATCTCTGCATACATACAAACAGTTTGCTAAAATGACGTCACACTAACAACTTATTCTTTCAAATTCGCCAAGAACAAAGTAGCGGTACTGCTGATTGCGCCACCTCTGTCTCCCTACATCTTGACTATAAGTTATAGTTATTTTTCAACTAGGGGTGACTTCGCTTCGACTACTTTACGATACATTCAACTGATTACTTTTACGTGATGATGTCGCAAAAAAAGTAAGTTTGTTTTCAGCTAACTACAAACCGGTTTCTAATAAGTTAAAATTGGCGTGCAAATATGTTAGCGTTAGGCCGAGCTTCTCCTCCGATTTGTGGCGTGCGCCTTGATGTTGTCACACAAAGCGGAGAAGCTGTTTTTCATGGCAGAAATACACTTGGGGGTTTGCCATTGCCTGCCGAGGGGTGGCCGCTGTTAAGAAGAGAAATGTTTCTATATTTTTTGCGATGTTGCTTTGACCAGGGCTTGAACCCAGGCCTTGCGGAGCGGTAGTGAACGTTGCTAACCACTACACCACAAAAAGAGTTATTTTTCCAATTTTTCCCATGAAAATGCTGTAGATCTAAAAACTTCTGCTAAAACTGTATACCCTCCTCTTTATATGACAACATATCTTACAAGACACGTCAGAGGTTAAAATACAAACTTCATATTGTGCACAGCGATGGTTCTCTGCAATAATGACACAACTAAAAACTAAAAAAAAAACCTTACTGCTACTGTTCAGTGATTCATGTCTGTAATCCTGGTTTTATCCATGTCTAACCCGAACTAAATACTAGACATGGATTTGAGACATGAGGCCCAAACAGAAGTAATCTTTTTCTTTTTTTGCAGTCAGGTATTGCAAAGCACCATCGCGATGCATCGATACGTTAGTAAAATAAATTTTATGTTTTTTAAAACTTAAGAGTGTAGTTTTTTAATATTGTAAAAAATTAGCAATAAAATGTCCATATACATATTGCAAGAATGCAAAATCTTGTACACTCAAAAAAAGTTGTCGTTAGGACGATGCTATTTAGCCATCAACGTGAAACTTTCGCGTAAATATCTATCTATTTTTCCTCATTAATCATCTTATATAAATGATAGCTTTCGTTGTTGCATTGAAACCAAAAAGACTATACTGGTCTCAATTTGTTATTGCTAGGGGTAAGACTGTGTGTTGAGATCTAATATCAATCCACGTTTTATATTAGGTATTAATTAATTATTGTATTGTTACCAAAAATTATATTGTTTAAAGTTTCATTTTAACACAACGCGTATTAAACCAATAGTGATACACTGTTTTTTGAGTGTATATACATATAATTACAAATATACACAGTTACAAATACAAATACTATAAATGCAAATTGTTCATTTTGGATTTTCATCTCCTTTTTCAGATATAAGTCGTTTGACTCGATCGCCATCGCCCCTGCAATATGCTGGTAAGTATTTGACAAGTTTCAGAGTGCCATCGAAAAATATACTTTTGTATGTATGTATGTGCCTGCGTATCTATGGATGTGAAGTAAAACGATAGCATAAATTTAAAAATTATATAAGAGCAATTTAATTTAAATCTATTAATTATATTCTAGCGTGTCTCAGTCCTTTATCCACAAAAGTGGCTATAACTTTTTTTATATTCCAAATAGTTAGTGTGGCACCTTTCTGAAATCTCCAATAACCCTGCTTTGATAACCCTACTGAAAATTGCTGGGAAGATAACCATACATCTATGAGACGTATCATGGGTTGCTTGCCCTGCTTTTATGATAAAGCGCTCAAAGTTTTTCATGTATTTTATATGGAAAAAAAACTTTTCGTAGAAATTTTCGATCGGAAAACTGTGGTTCCACCACTGTATTTCCGCCACATATAGCCAAATTTCGGGAAGAAAATACGAAAAAGTTAAAAATCACAAAATTGTCCTAATTTTATAATAGAGCTTATACAACTGGAAAACTATCGATAGTCGTGGCCATCGATAGTTTCGATAGTACTATCGATAGTTTTGATAAAAAAGTCAAAAATATGTTTTCGATAGTCAAAAACCATTGATACTATCGATAGTTTTCCAGCTCTAACAAATAAATTTTGGTCCCGAATAGCGACGGTTAAGGCATGTCGTACAGGGGGTAAAATTCAGATTCCTCTATGGAGACTCGAAGATATCATATATAAATTTTGGCCCAGATTGAAGTTGGTTAAGGCGCGCCGCAGCTATGTACCACCGCTGTCAAACTATTTTTTCACGTATCCTATTATTATGGCGGTCACAGAGCTACACCACGACTTTGGTTGTGACCAGCTTAGATGTATTTATATATTTTTCGAGAAACAGATAAGGTTCTTCCTCTGCTTTTATGACAAACTCATACAAATGCATGATGTCGCTGAAGATAAAAATGAACAATTTACAGCTGTGGTCGTCTTTTTCAATGTGTTGAGACTATAAGAATTCACAAATATTTTTAAAACATAATACAAAAAAATCGCTCCGAGATTTACAAACATTTAAAAGATGTTTAACATACAGGCTTTTACATAAAGTATTTTACATAACTCAAAACGAAAACATAAAGTAAAACATGAAACCAGCAAATGTATCGCTAAACGATAGATAATTTTTACTTTTACAGTTTTATGAGTGGGTCACATTCATATTTAAATGCAAAATGATAATTAGTTCTGTAAAGTTATTTTCTTTCCCCATTGGTATCTGCAGGTAAAAATTATCCAAGAACCTGATTTGTGGGACTGTAGGGGTTGTAGTCGAGCCGCCATATTGGGAAAAATTTGTGGTTTCTTTAAATAGCTATATTGCACACTCATACAAAAAGTTCTGTGTTGTCAAGGCAAATTGGAACGTGAAAGGGCCCTACAAATGTTTGGCTCTCTTAAGGTGCAGACACATACATATGTATGTATGTACATAAGCATATTTTTTGTTTTGTGCAATTGTAAGAAGGTTAAAAGTTCTAAATTTTTTTAGAAGTAAAAAATTAATATTAAAAACTTAAAATATTTAAATTACAAAAGCAGCAACGATGCATGGTATACTAATGTAAATATATAAACATGCATATACATACTCTGCTGTGGACATTTAAATACGTGCGTGGTAAATTTAAGTGTGAAAATATTATTTTTAAATACGAACACTTTTAAGCAAATATATAGTACTCATTTTCACTATACATGCAAGTACTCTACCATGAGCAATGAAAGAGATATGCAGCATGAAAAATTCGATTTGTATGGGAGGTGCCAAGCTCCCTTTTCCAATAGATAATATCTATTTTTTCCATAATAATATTAGTATGGATAATATCATATGTATCCATACTAAGTTCTAGGACTTTATTATCAACACTTCCAAAGATATGCATTCGGTTTGTAATAGAGGTGCCACGGTCCCTTTATATATACAAAAGAAGGAAGAAAAAAGTTTTCAAAAAGTGAGCCATTACAAAAACTAATCTGGGCTGACATTTGCGTAATACGAAGCTTTGTCTGCGGATTTATGAGACAGTTAAAGAGGTATGCAGCGCTTTTGAAATTAACCTGGCCGAGTATGTATTGTAAACTAAGACAGCTACTTTATAATAATAGGGGACTCTGAGTGGTGGGCGAAAGGGAAGTAAACCGCTGAGAGGAATCGATTTTAATTTACGATTTTAATTTGGTTGATTTTTCAAGACAACTAATGCTTGATTTCCACTAGGCATTAAATGGTAAATGACAAAGTTGGGCATTAAAAAATAATCATGTCATTACGTTAAAAAGATAGCCATTAAGTTCATTTCCCCATGACATTTTTTTTAAATGGCATAAATTTTTTTGTCATTTCAATGCCTAGTGGAAATTCGGCATAACAATAAATTTTAAATTAGAATTAGTAAAAAAGTGTATGTAAAAACGAAACATACTCGAACGATGTTATGCATTTTAAAACATTTTTCATTGTAGATCTTGAGTTTCTATATTTTGCAATATAATTTTTGTATTTAATGTTTTTTTTTTTTTTTTTACGGCAAAACACGAATTTCCGAAGCTTACCAATGATATCCAAGGTTAAGAACAACCCTTGTTTGCCAGAAAAAATTTCTATGTACATACAAATGTATGTATGTATATATATGTGATTTGATGTATGTAGAACAAGTGTTATGATGAATGCAAAGAGTACATTGCTACTTAAATCGCTGCCAAAAAGAAAAAAAAACATCTAAAATAACTGGGATAGAACGACAACACACCTAATTAGCATTAGCCGGTGCCAGCATATGCAGTCAGGCGTTGTTATATCTATTATGCATGCGTACATACTTACATACGTATGTATGTGCGAACTATATAAATGTATATGAACATATGCACGTCTGAACTAAATTTTAACTATATAAAATTTATAAGTAATTTTATTTCGCTCACTTTGGATTCCCTATTCTCTTCATCACCTCATCTCGTTTCGACGCCGCGAGGACAACAAAGCATGCTGATGTGTGATAAATTTACGAATTGTCTGTTCAATCCGCACCATATGAAAATGGTAAACAGACCTTCTGTCGTTGGAAAACATCTGCTTTAATACACACTCGTATCAAATAGGACATACATAGTTATTGGGCGAGAAACAGACTTTGTGAAGGTTCAAATAAAATCGAAATGAATCAATTTTTGTAACTCATATTGTTTTCGACAATGAATGGATATAGATATATACATATGTATATGTATTGTACCCACATATGTACATATGTGCATACTTATTTTATAGTATTAGTTTTGTGTGCAACACACGCAGATGTGCATACATACTTTTGAGTATTTACTGACTTTTCAACCCTTGCTTAGAGTACCTAATACAAGGCACACGCGAGTATTCATACATTGCTATAAATACGTTTACAAACAAACATACAATTTTAAAGCAGGGAAAGGGTATATTGGCTGGACTCTTATTTACCGGCTCTATTAATGTCGTAAGAGCCACGCGTCTTTCGCACTTTCCATTTCAAATCGCTCCCAAAAGTAATGTTGCACCAATGTCTTAACTTAATTTGCCTTTAAGGTTTCAATATAACGCGCATATATACATACTAGGGATGCCAAAATATCAGGAAAATTAGGATCCCGGGATTTCGGGATATTTTTTAGGTAATCCCGGGATTCAAATTGAGTATGGAGTTTTGCTTTGCTTTAAACAGGCAAAATGTTGTATTCAAAGTTTTGCGAAATACTTGAAGAAAATGGCTATACGAAGTGTTTTCCTCTGCTGTACAATTTTTAAATTGGGACCTAGCACCCTTGCACTTTACGCTAGCGATATTTATTAAATCAGACAAATTTTAAAGTAAAACTTTTTTTTAATTGTTTTCAAAAAACCATGTGATTGAGGAACGTATACATCACAAATAATAATTTAAATACCAGGTACTTTTGAAAGTAACGATAAATAAAAAAACGTAAAACAAAACAAGTAAGAAAGTCTAAGTTCGGGCGGAGCCGAACATTAAATACCCGGCGCAAGAATTAAATATATGTTTTTTCACCCTTCCGAAACCTTCCGCTAGATGGTAAGCCGAGGTGCATCAATTTTGAGTAAATTAGCGTCCTTCAATTTCGAAATATTGAAGTTTCAAGCATTTCTTAAATTTACCGTTATATGAGAATCGGCCGTTATTTTAGTCCGATTTCAACAATTTTCAACGTTTTGCTAACACGTGGCAAGTACAATAACCATACCGAGTTTGGTACAAATTGGTAGAACGGTTACCGATATACTTATATGTGATCATAAGTGGGCGGTGCCACGCCCATTTTCCAAATTCTTACCATAAACGTATTTCTTGGTAAAGAATTGTTGCAAGTATCAATTTTGAATAAATTAGCTTCAATATTTAATGATTTATCGAAGATTTTGTATTTCTCTAAATTACCGTTATATGGGATGTGGGCGTGGTTATTGTCCGATTTTAAAAAGTTTCGGCGGTTTTTTATGCTGTACCAAGGCCAACAACTGTGCCAAGTTTGGAAGAAATTGGTGCAGCGGTTACCAAGATATACACATGTAACCACAAGTGGGCGTGGCTACGCCCATTTTCCAAAAATTTATAATATTCTTATTTTTCGTCTAAAACTTATTATAAATATCAATTTTGAGTGAATTACCGTTATATGGGAAGTAGGCGTGGTTATTGAGCGATTTTAAAAATTTTCGGCCATTTGGTATGTTATGCGAAGGCCAACAACTATGCCAAGGTTGGAAGAAATTGGTGCAGCGGTTACCAAGATATACACATGTAACCATAAGTGGGCGTGGATACGCCCATTTTCAAAAATTTATAATATTCTTATTTTTCGTCTAAAAATTATTGTAAATATTAATTTTGAGTGAATTATCTTCAGTAGTTACTAAAATATCGCAGTTTTCGTATTT